TAAATTCTTCGAATAAAATTTGATTTTGATAATATTATATTTCGAATAGAATTTTATTCGGATAACATTTCGAATAAATTCTTCGAATAAAATTTTATTCTAAGTAATATTTCGAGTAAATTCTTCGAATAAAATTTTATTCGTATAATATCTTAATACTTTTATTCGTAATAATATGAAATAAATTTTTTTCGAATAATATTTCGAATAGAAGTAAATAAATGAATCAATCAATAAATCAATCGATCATTCAATCAATAATTTCGCGATCCACGCACCGATTTATTAACGCGCCGGTCGATCAATTTCCATTTCCCTATGATTACGACCGATTTATCGTAGGCGCAACCGCGACGACTTGCCATCGGCCATAATCCCTCGCGATTATGGTATCGCGGGGCCTGCGAGATGCGATTAAGCGATTCGAGCGATCCTTAACAATCGCTGGGAGGAACGTGGAAACGGCCGCGTGCGCGCTTGAAGGAAAAAAAGAGAAAAAAGAAACGGCTGACCGAGTAATAAAACCAACGTGATTAACCTGCTTGCTGCACTATAATTCCACGGAGTCCGTCCACGTTTCGCGTAACACGCCGTTCTTTTTCAAGAAAATCGCCGACGCCGATCAAAGACCCGCGCCACGTTATACACGCTCCCCCGAGATTTATCTTTGTTAACGAGTGTATTAAAGCGAATGCGACCCCGGCAAATTGAAAAATTATATATAAAAATTAGATTATATTTGCGCATTCGCGTCGAACAAAATAATCTTTTGTTCGGCCCCGGGTTTCCTGACAAAGGAACTCTCGTCTCCGAACGATCTTAATTGCGTCTCGTCGAAAGTTTTATCGATGTTAAAATGGAGAGAATCATTTGATTAACCCTAGAAAGATAACCATATGACAACGTACGTAAAAGATAACCATACGCTTCAGAGGCGCATGCTTTTCTAAGGCGTCAATTTTATACTAACAATGGATATTTATCTAAGTTAATCTAGTCATTTTAAAGGTTTGGCATTATTGTAAAAATAAAATGCATTTATATTATATTTTTTTATATTTTAAGTAATTTTAAACTTAAATCACTAGACCTCTATGAAAAATTAACAAAAATCAACAGTCTTCGCAGGCGCCTCTGCGACGTAGGTTATCTTTCTCGGGTTAAACTATATCTCGCACCGAATGTTGGATAATAGGAAGCGTGAAATTTTAGCGATTTCAGGCAGAATCGTTATAGGAAACGATCCACAAAAATTCACGAAAGCGTTCGTACATCTTTCAAAAAACGGTATAACTTTTTTCAAACTGGACTAAATCACTTGAATCTTTTTAGACGACAGAAGGACTAATCTGCTAGTAAAAATTGATAAAAATGATCTGACACATTGTCGACATTCCACAAACAGACCAGAATAATTCAGTGATTTTTTTTCAACATTCTACACGTGTTTGAAAACAGATTCTCACCTGTCTGCGACTGTTCGCGCGTTTACAAAGCGAGTTCGACTTTCAATCTCTCGGCAATTAGTCTCTGAGTAAATTTCGCGCGATTGCAATTTTTGTCGCAACTGTTGGCTCGACCTTGATCGAAGGATTCGACGACGCAGCCGCGGTTTTTCTCGGTTTAATAACCGAGTCAATTTCCAGCGGTTGATCTCGGCGGCGGCGCGGCCGCTCGGCCCTGCAGCCAGCTGGCCGTTGAATCTTCGATCCATTAATCTTTTCCCGGGCCGTTCTTGTCCAAAGGAAGCCTTAACGCGCCATTAAAACTTCGACACCTAATTACCGGGCATCCGCGGGCCGTGGAACTTTGAAAAGCCGGTCCGCGCGCCGTAAATTCGCACTCGATCGGGCCCCCCGGATCGACCGCCATCACACTTTTGCGCCGGCAACTTCCGCGTGGCCCCTTCCCCGCTTCGATCAATATAATTAGACCACCGGCCATAACGTAATTAGCTATATAGAACGAATTCGGAGATTGGAATTTTCCGCCTCGAACGGTTTGCAAACTTTCCGCATTCTCCGCGCCCTTCGGTTCGCCGTTCCATCGTTTCCGCTTTTTCCCAGAATTCTTGGACGTGTTCTTTGTGACCAGTCTCGTTGCCACAGTTCTCTTGGCTTATCGGCATTTTCTTCGTGTCCTTTGTGCCCTGGTATTTTCTCCTCGCCTCTCTCCCCCGGCTCCTGTCTTTTGTCCTACGCGCTTCGGTAGCTGTTTCAGGATTTTTTGAATTTTTTTTGGAGCGCTCTTGGAGCGTCGGGATTTTTCGAAGAGGTTCACGATGCCGGGGAGTCTTCTTTGAACACGCTCTGTTTAGTCTGATTCGAACATATACTGTAGAATGTTTGATACTTTGTCAAGTCTACTGGAATCTTGAACAATTGCTGCTATACAATAGTCGTGCGTTATTACTATAATATTGCGTCTACTATAATTTCTACTATAATTAACAAAGGGTTCATCTCGTTGATAAATAAAGTTATTATTATTATAATTTTATCACGATGTGTCTTGTTTCCATATTCTAGTAAACAATTTTTTAAATGGAGGAAGGAATGGACAAGAATAATCTTGGGCATTGGCACACAATTTGCAGAAATTCTCAAAAATTTTACGACGGCTTTTCAAGCTGAAATTTTGATGAAATTTTTTCCAATTTAGGCGACGACACCTTCTAACAAATCTTATCACTTATCACTTATCACGCGGATCTTTATGTAAAATAAGACTGTCGTTAGTTAATTTCCGGAAAAAGAATTTCTTCTTTCCACAATTTTCATGCATTCATTTTTCTCATAAATCCATAAAATCTGTGGTATAACTATAAATAAATAAAAGAGACGCAAAAACAAGTTTAAATTGCAGCAACGTCTTCGTAGTTTCGTATTCCATGCATTCATTTGGCGTAATCATAAACAAATAAAAAAGATGTGGCGATAAACTGAAATTCCACTAACGTCTTCATAGTTTCGTATTCCGTGCATTCGTTGCGACCATAAATAAAGATGTAAAAATAAACTGGAATCGCAGTAACGTCTTCATAGTTTCGTATTCCGTGCATTTAATTTTCTCATAAATGCATAAAATCTACTCAAGATTAGATAAATGAGACGGAAAAATAAACGAGAAAACAGAGACCAACATGGCGGAACGTTTGCAGAAATGGAAGGGGTGTTGTTGTAGCTCGCGCCGTTGAATGGAGTCAGTGTGACAGGATCGGACAAGGGCGCGGAGCGAGGATCTAATTATATTAAAGCGGGTCGCGGGACATCGATTAACCAGCCTTTCGCCGATTCGCGCCATTACGCCGGGCCCCGAATCACCGTCCAGTAAATCGGCGTGTCCCTGTCCGCGCTCTCGTGCCGTCGCGTTCGTCTCTCTGTCTCTCCATAGATCTTTCTCGCTCCCTCTATTTATCCGTGCCGCTAACGAGAAATTAGCATGTGCGGGGCTGCGCGTAAAGCAGGGACGAGAGTTAAAGCGATTATCGTGAATCGATGCGCACGGAATCCCTCCGGGCCGCGGCCGCGATTAACGACGGTGCGTGATGTCTTGACAACTCGGTCGCCACTCGCCTAAATCAGCTGAGCGTGTATCTGTCTGATCAATTTTCACCGGCCCGAGTCCACTTCCGGTCGAAACTCCGTTGGATTTCGGGACAAGAGAAACTGGCGGGACCTCCTCCTGTTACCGCGACAAATGTTTCGTAACTCGACTATACGAGATGTCCCAAAATTATGGTATTTCCGGGGAATGAGGGGTTCCTGAGGCCGTTTGAAGTAATTTTTTCCTCAGCGAAAATGCAATCCGCGGCTTCGTTTACGAGTTATTAGCGAAAAACGTTGACCAATCAGAGGCGAGCTCGGCTGACGCTAGGCGGCCCGGCCAACGAGCGGACGAAGCCCAGTTCCCTTCATTGGCTCCGCCGCCTCGCGCCAGCTGATCTCGTCTCTTATTGGTCAGTGTCTTTCGCTAGTAATTCGCAAACGAAGCCGCGGATTGCGTTTTCGCTAAGGAAAAAGTTACTTCAAACGACCTCAGGAACCCCTTTCCGGAAGTAATGTTCGTATAAAGTATAATTTTTGGTCACCCTGTGTATGCCACTAACATTACAAATTCAATCTAAACCGTGAAATTACATTTTTGCATTTTTAACGAAAACCGTGTTTACAGTGAAGCAAATTTTAACATGCCAGTTTTCATGTTCATTTTAGATTGAGTTCGTTGCAGGATTTTTGGTGCATTTGACCTGGTGTTTTTGTTCGCGAAACTGTTATGTTAGAATATTTTATACGATGCTCGTTTCCGTGGAATTCTTGAAGGAATAATTTACGTAATTACTGTTTGTTTTTCAGATATAAAAAGCTCAAATACCTTTCTTTATTAAATTTTCGATAAATTAAAAATTGATCTTGTTCCAGAATTCTGAGTGTAGCGTTTGATTATTCCGCCTCTGTGCGAAGCTGTTGCGTTAGAACATTTGACGCGTCGTTCGTTTAAGAAGTCGATTTCGCGTCGAATAATTCCACCATCGTTCTACCGCAATATTATAGGGACGAAGAATGTTAACGCCGTTCTACTTCGGAAGGATCCTCGAGGAAATAAATTAGTTACTATCTCCTTCGGCTTTCGGAACTGCAGCCACTTCCAGTCAACTTCTAAACACATTATAGACTCGTTTCGACGTGAAACTTTGATTAGTTCTTTCTCCTTTGTGCGAAATAGTTAAACTTTCCCTTTCGACGGAGCGCCCGGAGAAATAAATTAGCTGGCTAGTTAAGAATGAATTAGCCGATCGATTAATTAGTGAATTGATTTAGTCAGCTTGACAGAGTGGCAGCAGAATTTCATTAGCCCCTGGGTTCGCGAGCGAGCCTCGACGAGACAAAACGGTGGTCGCTGTGTCTTTCAGTGTTCCGCTCGTTTTGTAACGATTACTGCTATTTCGACGGCGGCTGTGCAGTTTTAGCGAGTGATTAACAATGCACGTTCTATTTCAGGTCGATCTGAAACCGCTGCGCGAGGCGACCATCGCCGTCCCGACGCCGAAGATCTCGGAGAAGCGGAAAGCAGAGGAAGCCGACGCCAGCAAGGACTTGAAGAAGGTGAGTTCGTACGAAAACGTTGTTTATGTTACTTTATATTTATTACTTTTATTATTATTTACTTTATATTTATATCATATATACTTTAATTAATCGAATTCAAATAAAACAATTCGATACGTGTTAAACGATAAATATATTGGCAGAACTGTAGAGTCGCAGTGGAATAATTGTCGATCAATATTGAGAAATACGAACACAATATTTAATGATAAATTACGCAAAACATTATTTTAAACGACGTTACATTAAAATCAACGAACAAATTATTAAAATACACTACGATCAATAAACAACGGAAAACGACACGTTCAAGGATACAAACTGCACGTTTCGTTGGATCCATTCATTCGCGTATCGATCAATTTGGCGTCTGTATAACTCGTTTTGTAAATTGCTGATTAGAAAGTTGGAATTGAAGGATTTTTTATTTCCTTGATTATATTGGGATTGTGTCAGTTATTTTTCTTTCTTCTAATATTCAAAGGAGATTTGATACTTGCGTCTCGGGAGAATTTTTATCGACAATAGAAACTTTGAAATTGACCTTCGAGTTCTTCAGAAATGTCATTGAAATTGCGAAAGTTGTGTTTAACAGCGAGAACTCAAGTCCGGCAACAGGCCACAGTAACCGGCTCCTCTCCCCTATTCGACCGCGTATTAACCCGAGAAAGATAACCTACGTCGCAGAGGCACCTGCGAAGACTGTTGATTTTTGTTAATTTTTCATAGAGGTCTAGTGATTTAAGTTTAAAATTACTTAAAATATAAAAAAATATAATATAAATGCATTTTATTTTTACAATAATGCCAAACCTTTAAAATGACCAGATTAACTTAAATAAATATCCATTGTTAGTATAAAATTGACGCCTTAGAAAAGCATGCGCCTCTGAAGCGTATGGTTATCTTTTACGTACGTTGTC